TCTTATTAAAGATATTTAAATAAAAGTTCTGGTTTTTAGCTTTCCAATGATATATTTTTTATGTAATTCTGTGCATTAGTTACAAAGTTATAGTCGTTTAATTAATTCCAAAAGCAATTGTCCCACACTGTAACTTTAGTATTTAATAATTTTTTCCGGTCTTGTGAAAACCTTTTCCATTTATATACGTTTTTTATTATTTTTTCTTTTTTTTGGTTTGGGCACTTAACGGTTTATCGAATATTCAAAAGGTAAGATTACTAACATTACGTAATATCGATCATTTATAGGCCAAGCAAATCCTAAAGACGTTGCATGTTAATCTAGATTAATCTTCGTAAGACACGTATCATATGGCCTTTCTATGACGCAATGACACAACTATGTGACTAATAGAATTTATAAGTTCTTGGGATAAAACACCTAATTCCGGCCGAAATTATGGACTTATCGATTAATGGGGTAGCGGTAAAAAGCCACACATTTGTTAAAAACCTTGATCTGCTATACATCGCCACATGCTGTTATTGATGCATAAGTGCATTAAGCTTTGAATTTATATATTCCTCCTGTCTTTCTGCGTTATCAGACACCAGTAACACAATACCGCACAATAATTAAACCTACTTAAACTTTTTTGTCTCTTCCTAAGTCTTTGTTGTTTCTCTTCACTTATTCAATTTCATTTGTATCATTTCCTCTATCGTCAAAATGAATCCTGAATAGTGAGTAATTTATTAATTCTGTTGACGTTTTTTTTGAATTTATTGAAGGACGAAACTTTCTTGAAAGGGCTGCATTAGGTCTTTTTTGTTTCTTTCAGGAGCTTTTTTTAGAGGAATTAGATTTTTTGAATTAGCTTAATAATAACGGTCTTGGCTACAATAGTGGGACAACTAGTCTTTGTTATCTCTGTCAAGTACACTTTACTTGAGTTTCATCATCTCATAATCTCTTTCCTGCACGCCCCACTTTACATTTTCACTCCTAAAAAAAGTTCCTGAAATAGATTTTTTATTTTCATTATTGATTGTGTTGACATTGATAAGAATAATATAAGAATAATGATTAATAATGATGATAATAATAATAATAATAATAATAGCAGTAATAATAATAATAATAATAATAACGATAAATATAAATCATTATAGCGATTTTCTTTTCAAACTACTTCTGATTGGAGATTCTGGCGTAGGAAAATCTTGTCTGCTTCTTCGTTTCGCTGATGACACGTATACCGAGAGTTATATTAGTACGATTGGGGTTGATTTCGTATGTATATACATAGACTTTCTTTTTGAGATTTCTTATTTTTACGGAAAATCATTATATATTAATCGATATTACTTCGTCTAATTTAGAAAATTCGAACTATAGAGCTTGAAGGGAAGACTGTTAAACTTCAAATTGTATGTGTATTTTATCCTTGACTTTGTAATATTAAGTTTAGAAACTGACTAATCCCTGACAAACCCATTAATTAGTGGGATACAGCAGGTCAAGAAAGATTTCGAACTATCACTTCATCCTATTATCGGGGTGCACATGGTATAATCGTGGTTTACGATGTGACCGATCAAGACACGTTTCTCAATGTCAAACAGTGGCTTCAAGAAATTGATCGTTATGCTTGCGAAGGTGTGAATAAATTGTTGGTGGGAAATAAGAGTGATTTGACGACTAAGAAAGTGGTGGATTATACAAACGCAAAGGTTTATTATTATGAAATTTATTTTATTTATAAATTTTACTGCGCTTTTAACAATATATTTATATTAATATATGTTTTATTTAATAGGAATTTGCTGATGGATTGAATATTCCATTCTTGGAAACATCCGCCAAGAGTGCGACTAATGTTGAACAAGCATTCTTGACGATGGCCAAACAAATTAAAGACAGGTAATAAAGAGAATTTTAAATAGGAAATTCTCAATTCATATTCCATTCTTAATTTTTTAATAATAACAACAACAACAATAATAATAATAATGATGTTTGATGATTATGAAATTTAGAATGGGAACACAAGTTACCCAAGGTGCTCCAAAGAAAACTGTCAACATTAGTCAGGGAACTTCAGTACCTCAACCATCTAGTGGTGGATGCTGTTAATTATAATGATAATGATTCTGACGATGTTGAGGATGAGGATGAATATATGAAAGGAACGAAGATGAATAATGACGATAATTATAATATAAACTATAATAATAATAAAACATCAACAGCATCAACAATTGTGATTAGTAAAATTTCTTTCTTCTCTTCTTTATCTCTTTGTATGTTTGTGCGAGTTTTTGATTTTTTTTAAGTTAATAATACGATTAGAAAAGCACTTAGATGAAAAGAGCGCAACAGATATCTATTATTGTAATCATCATGTGCCCACTTGTACATGTTTTTTTCTAATTTTTTTTTCTAACTACACTTTATCGACATTCATATATTACCACTTTAATCACAAGACTAATGATGACAAAGAAGCAGAAGATACCAATTAACGAACTGAAACCCTGGACTTTTTTAGATGAATTCTTTCTGGTCTTTCTCATTTCTTTCTTTTTTTTTGTAATGCAACGTTTGGTTTCCTGGATTTTTTTTGTTTTTATATATCATTTCATTTGATTCTACACCTCTATCTATCTAATACATACATGTATGCTGATGATCTTTGAAGTTTAATAATAATAGAAATATCCGAGAGTCAAAATTCGTGTGATCTATCGAATAATTTTTCGCTCTACGTTTCTATTTCACTATTATATTATTGTCTTTGTAATCATTTTCATTTCCATTTTCATCATTATAATCTGTTACCATCCTAAAAGTCAAACTCACTCTACGACTTCTAACGATTTTCTCACGCCCAAAGAACTCGATTAGGTCTTTTGATATCGAGTGTCGGTAATTGTAACGGCTTTCATCCTTCAAGATTAATAGTGAACGTGGACCTTTTTTTTGAAGAAAAAAGAATAGTAGTTATAGCAGTAGTCGTGTACACTCGTCTTTTTTTTAAACATATACTCACGTAAAATCACACAAGATGAAGACGATGACGAAGAGCATCCATTATTGTTCTTCGAACCCTCTTCTGTGTTTACGGGGGAAAAAGTCATTAAACATGGTGATAATAATGAGAGGCTCAATATTGTAGGACCAAAATAGGAAGCATCCGTGTGCGGCATTATACCTATTAAATGAAGAAAAATATATATGTTTAGCGTTTAAGAACTTGAAAAACCAATAATTAATTTTTTCTTACCTTGCCCGGGATTATACTCGTTAACTATACACATATTAGGTGGTGTATCGATAATTCCCTGGGATATACATCGCGCGATAATAAAGTCAAGGAAATGTGGCAGTGGGCCTAAATTTTCGAGAACTTTTCTGAGATTTTTTACAATACCATTATTATTAACTCCTATTTAGCGAACCATTAGTCTTATTCATTTACCTGTATCGATAACTGAACACGTATCCGTAATGTTGTGTGCGTCTCTTCATTTCTGGATTCGGCCTTCAAATGAAAAAAAAAACTTTTACCCTTAATTCATGAATAATTAATTATATTTCTTTTCTCATAACACTCACAATAATCCTAGTCCGCCCCACGGCATCACATCAATATTTCTTAACAATTCGCGTTCTTCATCCACCGTGATGAAGTTCTCGATTATGGTTAGTCCCTGGATTTTGTCTGATCCGTTGTAATCAATGTCATAGTTGTCATTGTTATCATTATCACAATTAATTCTATTATTGTTTTTCTCCATTTTTACACAATCTCAAATAATAATCATTAAATATAATAATTGATGACAATGACAATGATGTATTGAATCCAATGCAAGCAGATACCCGGATAAAGAAAAAATTGTATGGAGTATAATTTATATTGTGCAATGATGACGTAAGGATCAAAGTTCAGGGGTGAATTAATTTTAAAACTGGCTATAATATAATGCGTTTTTTAGTGTGATAATTAAAACTGGAAAGTATAATTGTTTCAATCCCGTTATTATTGATATTGATCCGAATGAGAAAAGAACCAAAATTGATTCTTATATTAGGAGATCAAACTTCCCCCCCCCCCCAATTAAAAAAGCGTAAAATATACTCTGCTTTTTATGGGAAGAGATGAAGTTCCCTAATGAACTGCGTAACTTTTATTAATTGTAACTTATAGTTAATTGATCTGGTCAAAAATTATATGAACGGATGGTAAAAAAAAAACAGGCATATGTTTATTGATTGAAAAAGATTTCCTTCATCAATCCTCGGGAAATATACAAATCTTATATAAAGCTTATAATCAATCATGTTTCTCTCTTTAAATACAATTAGAATAAAAATTAGGCTTTACGAGTAAAATTCTCTAAATCTCTGAATTCAAAATCAGGGTGATAAATTAATATAAAATTAGAAATAAATACCAAAATTAGAAATAAATAATATATTAATAAAGAAAGAAAATTCCTTATACTTGTACTCCATTATCTAGTGGAATCCCTAAAGTACCCACAATACTAACAGGCCGAGAGTTATTTCTACTATTATTTTGTAATTCTTGACTTTCTCTCTCTCTAATATTTTCCACTTCAACCGCAGCTGGTTTTACCCATTCCGGTGGATCACCAACGCATCTAGTAACTGGATCCACCCAACCTTCGTATCGTTCGAAAACTGTGTAATCAAAGGGTTTGAATTTCTCTTCAATTTGGAGCAGTTGTAACTCTTTGTCCGATAACACCTCTGCTCCTCCTTCTTTACGTTTTTTTATTTTTCGTCGGCGAGATTTTGCTTCGAGCGGTTGCTCTTCGAGGAGTAATTCTTCGAGATCATAGGTGGCATCGAAATTGATTCGATCGGATGATGGACGAAAAATCGGTTGTACCGCTTTTGATTCGAGGGATGGCCAATCAATGTTTCGGAAAAAGGGATGGCTTTGTATGTGAATAAACCCATTAGGTCCACATCCTAAACGTCGATTTATATCACGTTCAAGGAACTATCACCGAAACAATTTGTCGAGTGAGTTACGCATAATATGTTTATAGAAGGATTTATTTATATACATACGCCTTGTATTGCAGAAACGCAGGCTGGACTAACTGGTGGGTCCATATCTGGATATTGTATAGGGGCTTTGACAATCATTTTCTTTAAATCTTCTTGATTTTCACATTCGAAAGGCCTCTAATAATAATAATTAATCTATGATCAATCATGTATAATATATAAAGATACAAACAAAATTAAATAATAATTGTAAAAAGAATCATTTTAAGTACCCTGCCATAGATACATTCATAGAATGTAACTCCTAGTGACCACCAATCTACAGTGACACCATAACCGCCACCCCTAAATACTTCAGGAGCTATTAAATTATTAAGTCAAATTAGTAACAGTAAAAATAATAAAGATTCTTAAAGACGATATGATGGAATACAAGCGCGCACACATACCCATGTAAGCACATGTGCCAGAATGTGATGTTAGTGGTTTATCGGAACGGATGTGTGTGGCTATATTGAAATCTGTTAAATGTACGTGACCTCGATCATCCAAAAGAACATTGTCTGGCTTTATATCTCTTATTGGGATAAAGGGCAATTTATACTATTATAACAATGTGATTTAAAAATCACAATGATATTTATCATTAAATAAAAAAGAGATAATTCTACCTGTGGACAATCCCTTTTGAATGTAGATATCTTATAGCACAAGCAAGCTCGGCTATCCAAAATCGAATTGCATCTTCGGTAAAGGTTTTCCTGTTCAAGTGGAATCTCAGATCCCCACCCATCCTATTATGACCAAAAAATACTTCATTATCTTGTTCTATATTTTTTATAGGATATAAATGGAAAATCGAAAAGATATACTTACATCAAATCCATTACCATATACATGTATTCATCGTCTTGGAAGGCAAATCGCAGATTACATACCAATGGATGATCCAACTCTTCTAACATGGCACGTTCACGAAAGATATTACGAATCGCATCCATTTTTATACATTCATTCTTTGAAATGTATTTCAACGCGAATAGACGTTTTGTGTCAAGTCGTTCTACAATCCGCACCTAAATAAATATTATGAGGAAAACGATAAGTATCATCATCATCATCATAAATAAATAAATAAAAATTTCATAGAGTAGAACACTTCTTTTTTTTTTTTGCTTTTCAACGTACCTTACCAAAAGCACCTCTACCAACCACACGCAGAAGCCTAAAGTGTGAGAGGTTGACTATAAAATTTTTTTATGATAATAGTTATGATGCAAGAGTGATAAAAGTATTCGCATGGGAAGGAGGAGGAGTGCAAGGAAGGAAATGAGAGAAAGGGTAAAGAGGAAACAAATGAAAAACAAAAGTTTTTGATCTTTTTTTATTAAATCACTCACAACAAAGACTTCCAATTGCTTGCTGGCGAAATATGACAGTACTATTTTATACCTTCTTCCTCGAAATCGACGTCTATTCTTCCATTAGCGTTTCCCATTATTCTCTTTTATCTTCTCTTTAAGTTTGTTTCTTCTCGATCTTTCAATAGATTAATGAATGCCCATAGACCGCTTTATAGTAGTTGTTATTTATTAGAAATATACGAGTAATTTTTAAACTTTTTCTCAATATATTATATTAAGGTAATAAAAAGCGCATTGTAGTATTTTCACGGCACACACAGAATTAAAAAAAATTAAGTTATTATTGTCGAGGAGCAATAAAAATTTATACTTTACACACGATAGATATTTGAACCAATAAAAAAACCCGTGATTTATGATAAAGCTTTAATTCCGCAATTTGTGACAGACAAAACCCCCTGGTGGAAAACGGTTCTATTACAGGAGTGTGCAGACATTTGGAAAGCAGACAGCAATTCGCGCAAAAAGCAAAGGTCTGCTATGTCAGAATTAGTTCAGAGCATCAGCAACTGAGCATTAACTGGAAACCCAGAGGGTTTACTACCTTCTGGTAAGGATCGAAAACGCGGGCGCGTCTTATAGTTCTCGGTTCAGACATCAGTTCTGACAATAGTGAAGCTGAAGAACTTGAAGAGGATTTGCTTTCCATCGTCACAGTGTTTGTGGCACGTCATAATGGACTGCGTTCTATTGCTAATCGCAAAAGAGGGCGAGAGATTATTCAAGGAAGAGAAATTTCCAGCAGGGAAGACACAACACGCCCGTCTCTTTCCTATTCGGGATTAGGAAGGGCACGATGGACTTAGCAATTAATGTCTCACTGCAATAAAGAAAGGTGTTAAACGAAACAAAGGAGTCGTGAACAGAATGCTTAATTCTAAAATTATGACATAAAAGACACCTTATGATATACGGGATGAAGCCCTAATGAATTTACTTAAAGCATACTCATCAAATTTCGCTGTAAAACTTAATATAAAGTTCCGTTCTAAGAAAGATCGTTTGAAGTCTAATACAATTCCGTGGTGAGTTTATGTTCCTCCATAAATAAAGGCAGCTGAACTTCCCCAGAAAAGCTTCAGTATGATAATCATCCTGTGAGGAAAAACCTTGGTGAAGTCGTTTGAGATGCAAGCCGAGAGCCAAGGCCATATACTAGAAAAGGTTATTTTTTTCGCTTTTACTTTCAGTTTTCATTTCTTTTTCTTTTTTTATTTTTCTTTGAAAGGCAAGGTAGGGATAATCTTTTTGGACCCTAGTCTACAAACTTTTTGTGACTGGATATGATCCAAGTGGACTAGCAATATTCCTTGGATCTACCGCTTATGCTATGCACATGACAAACTACAGAGCAAACGTGACATCATAAATGGGAAGATACACAAGCATAAACACTACAAGCTTCGCCACGGATTCATTGTTTTGTAGCTGATTGCCATCGGAAACTCTCAAAATGGCGATGTGAAAATTGTCGTATTATATTTATTACCCAAGTTTCAAAACTGATAGAGGCAATGTGCACATGGTCACATTATCACTTTCGCCAGCATCTTCTGCATAAAGCTTGTGGAACCCCTAGTGCCAAATGATTCTATGCATGGATTACACTAATAAAACCTGTAGTCATCTTCATAAAAAGTAAAGGTATTTCATTGTCCAAAATGTCGCTCCACAGATTCTAATGATACTCGGGAGATCCCCCTCACTCTTAACCAGCTTTCACAAAAGCCAGCCAGCATTTGCTGGCGTTGGTACCTACCCTAATCGGTTCTTTGTACTTATACACCTGCATAGAAATGTGAGGTTTGATCAAGAATGTATAGGCACAATTGCAGGCGTTTTGTGCAAAATGGTGAAACCTCCTTCTATTATTAAAGCTAAATTTTATTTGATATTTTGATATTGGTGATGGTTTACAGCAATAAGACATTTCGTTTAGATATATGTGCTGCGGAAAATCGAATGGATTACCAACACGCTTCGAAACTTTTAGAACTACCACGTCGAGTGGATGATTGAAATTTTTCTTTTAATCAATCAGATCGGGAGAAATTTTATGTGTATAAAAGCATCATTGATTAAGACTGAAACATTAATTCCCAAAAAGGGAAAATAAGACAATAACGATTCAAATACAATGCCATTATCCCCTCTGCAATTATTATTTGTGTAGGACAAAAATTCACAAAGGTGATTGGGAATATCAAATGCCCCGAAATTGGAAGTTTAGTGATTGGATCTACATTAAAAAATTAAATCCGGTTCCGAACTCTAATTGGAAATCCCCGAAATTGATTTAATGATAAAGTTTCCATTTTCCCTTGCTGAAACGTCTTCATCTTCTTATTTTGTATTATGAGCTTCAATATCATCCAAGCCGAAAAGATGTCTGAACTAAAAAATCTAGAAAGTGAAAATTGATTCAGTTATGATACTCTAAGTATTTGCTGAAGTCAAACCTCCCTTGTTTTTTTGTATTTATTATATCACTTCTGCATCAGTGATCAATATATTGTGACACGTTGTAAGAGTCGCACCACAAATTTCGCGTGTTATTTGATGACTCTTCTTGACTCGAGATTAATCATTAATCCCATGATTTAACCAGAAATGGCGGAATTAAACATAGTTCTACAAGAATTTATTTTAACCCATTAATCAGTTCACATAACTGGCCATTAGTCCTCTCACTATAATTGTGCATCATATATTCCAATTTTACCGGGATAACTTTTTCACGGACAGGATTCAAAACTTCTATTTATTATGTAAATTGTTAGATCAGGTACTGGTGAGCCCTTTTTTTTTATCGCTATATCATATTCTTGAAATAGCTTCCAATGTCAATATGCACAGTAAACCCCACACCAAATAACTACACAAAACAGGTGAATTCATAATCCCAGCGCGTAAATTTTTATAATTATGTATGATCGAGAACGCGCCAGAACTCCATTTAATTGTTTCATTAGTATTAGTAGGCGTATATCCACCACCGTCATCATCATTATCATCAGCATTATTACCATCATCAGTTCCATTAGAACTAGATCCATTAATTTTTGATAAATCGACACCATTTAATGCAAATGGGTTCCAAAATAACCACCACTCGTCATTAGCGTTAGCACGTTGTAACAGTCCTGTCAGGAACTTGGCGTATTTTCCTGTTGGATCGCCATAATATTGTCTTGCACTGTATAATGGAACAAGAAAAAATAATGGATCCTCGTTTGTTGGCATCCCTTGATCCACTAGATAATCGATGGCAGTTTTTATGGTGGCACCTTGTCTCGTTTTTTGTTCCCAAACATTTGTCGCGTTTTTCAATTTTTGTGAGACTCGTGCGACATATGTTAATGCTATCAAATTGAAATATTGGTAATGAAATGGTCGCTATGTAGATTCGAAAGGAAAAACATTATTTAGCATTGATTTAGTGCTTGAATGCGTATAGGAATTAGAAACATCAAAAACATAAGGAGGAATGACAGTTACAGTTCTTCCACTTTCCAGAGGTTGTTCACCACTTGCAATGATTTGAGATTGAAACTGACGATTCAGAAATTCTTGAATCAGCATATCAGCTTTTGTCTCTTGACCAGTCCAAGCAAAATAAGTCGCCAATTGAACAACGTAAAACGTTGCGTGATTATTCGCAGCATTTCTAGCACCAGTGCCAAGATTACTGGTCAATAGCCAATTTCCATATTGAAAGAACCACGTTCTCATCTTGGTATAGAATAGTGAATTCTTACCCCCAACAGCAGTAGAATTAGTCAAAAGTTCAACGGCAGCCGGAATATAAGCATAGAGTCTCATGTCCAAAATTCCTTCAACTCTTCCGGTCCATTGACCTGGCCCACGAACAACTTGACCAAACTCGACATCTGGTTGCATCGCCGTATCAGGATTCACGAACCAAACATCTAATAATTGAACTGCTTTTGCCGCGTACTTTTCATCTCCATACAGATAATAATAGATTGATAATGCTACCACGTCATTCACCATTGAACTAGAATCGCGCGGATCGGTGAGTAAGTTTAAGTCTGGCGCGAATTTCCCATCCATTCTTCGATATGGACAATCGGTCATTGGGTTCCTTACACGTGGGACTCCACCACAATCCGCGTGAAAATAAGGAGCCCATGAATAATATTCATGTTTAGAACCATTTGGAGGTATTCGACTAGTATTAGTAACTGAATATGGTTGTGATTTGTTGAGTGCTATGCTTGCTGCTCTCTTTAGACTGTTAAGCGCTGTTTGTGCATATCCTGGATTTGTTAAATTATTTGCTTTAAAGTATTTAAGACCACTAATACTTAACAGATCCACTTGTATTCCAGCTAATATTCAGAATAATAATTAGTAAATTATTAATCTTATGAATCCATTAATATGATAATGATAAATTTTACCACCTTCACACAATAATAAACAGGATGACACCCATGTTAATACATAAATTATAAATATCCGTACTGATCGCATAATAATTTTTATCCCTCTGTCAAATTTTTCCTCGAGATTGATATTTTACAACTGTGGTTTCTTTTGGTTGATTTTTGAGGATGTTTTGAGTGTTTGTGTAATGAATGTCTAAATGTCTAATGTTTCTAAAGAAATATAATACAAAAATAAATGACCAATCAATGGTCAATTATAATAAAAACTACAAAAAGAATGAAATCGTATGCCTGGGACTTTAAATATTTCAAATATTTTCCAGGTTATTAATCAATGAAATGAAACAATGAAATGAAACTGTATTATAATATATTTATTATGAGATCGGTTATGCTTATTACTTGATTTGATGAAAGGCCGATAATCAACTTACAAATAAAGTATGTACACGTAGTAAAGACGGTCAAGAACCCCTATATAGTCATACATTATATTAAAATTGAATGGACACTTTCCAACTGTATGTGTATGATATGGAAAGATTTGATTTTATGTGACAGCTCGAATTAGTCGGGCCTTTAAGTCCAAAACCGGGCAAAAATAGATATTTATTATAATTGAACAGGTTAATATAATGTGATATACCGTAAACCATCAATTTTAAGCCAGTCCTTTCTAAATTTAGTAATATAATAATCTAATCTTTATGATTACAGTCGGACGCCTCTAAATGCATAGTTGCATATAGCTGGGACTTAGTGGTCTGCTGTATTTGACTTGAAAACCCCTTTTTTTAAATTAGCACCATTTGGCCAAAAATGATCATTTCCCGTTGCTAGGTAATTTCGTTGAAGAAGGCCAAATTGCTGATTAATTGTATGTTTCCGAGTCTGAAAATTATGCTGCCATTGATGCTTGAATGCCAAACTTTGGTGATTTTCAAATGACTATAGGAAAAGTCATGATATCAAGGGTGAAGCATCATCTGATTTGAAGAAACTGGATTCTCATGGTAATAAATTGTATTTTTTACTTTCATCTTTTTATTTGAGTCATTTACTAAGAAAACATCACATCAATTTGCAATTCTCATTTTCTATCCTGAACAAATTCAATAAATCTTCATATTGACCAAATAAATATTATTAAGTTTGCTATTTATCTTATTTCAGATATATTTACTTAAGTATAGATTTACAATTCAAATTAAATTATTTAATTGATTTAGTTTATTTTATTTTTTTTATTACTTATAACTTATTAAATATTTACTAATATTTAAATAATATTTACAAAACTTGAAATTCATAAAAAATAAGTATTTTTTTTCAAATTAATTAAATATAATATTATAATATATAGAATCAATATTATTATACTTTCTGAAAAAAATAAAAAAGAATTTATTTTAAGATTAATTTATTTTAATATAAAATAATAAAAATATATAAATTTTTTTCTAATCTTATTAATATTTTATTAATTAATCATTTACAAAGTATTTTTAAAATAATAAATTAAAGTTGAAAATAAAAATTCATAGCTAAATATATAATAATATTGAGATATTAATTTAATATATTTAGATATTTAATTAAAAAAATATTAATTAATAAATTAATTATAATTTGATATATAATATAATTAGATTTTTCTATAATTATCACACTTGAAAAAGCAAAATTGAATAATTAAAGAGAGATATGATTATAAAAGATTTTTTTAATTATAATTAATTAATAATCAAAAAACTTAAAAAAGATAATTATAAAGAGATAGAGAAATCTGATTATATTTAATAAAATTTTACATAAATTTACTAATAAAAATATTGAATATAAATTTTTTATATTATTTATAATAATTAAAGTAATTAGTAATATAAGTATATAAAAATGATAAATATATAAAATAATAATAATTTTTTATAACTTTTAATATATAGAAAATTATTATTATTTATATAATAAAAATTATTAATATTTAATAATTTAAAATTTATAAAATTAGTAATATTTTCTTTTTTATAAAAATTACAAATTTAAAAAATTTTTATATTTTATCTACTTTATTAGACTTATAAGTTATATTTCTTTTTTATTCTATTAAGTTAAATTAGAATTTTTATCTATTATAACTTTATAAATTATATTTTTATTTATTTTATTATCTTAATCTTATTAAAATAATATACAGTGATGATTAAAAGTAATGACTCAGGGGCTAAATTTACTAATAAAATATAGTGAAAATTAAAATTTTCTCTCTATATTAAAATTTATAATTTTAATAAGAAAT